TTTTGCAACAAAGATACAGTACAATCTTTGTAATGTCTACTTAGAGAATATGGGAAAATACCAAACATCAGTGATGTAAAGCAGACGATGAAAGAGTGAAACTGTCTTTTTCTAATAGTATTTTTGGCTAAGGGTATTCCTGTTATCAAACTTGCATTTTAATTGGGTTGTAAACCACTGTATGGCTTGTAAAATGTTTGTAAGGTATTCAGGTAAATGCTAGTTCTTGTAAAGGTTTCTGAAGACAAATGTCACTTTTGTCTAGTTTTGACTCTTATCGCCATTCAGCAGCCAGGGTCAATGTGCCTTTATTATAAATTTAGTACAGTAACCAGTAAATCTCTCTTCTGAACTTACGATATTCTTACTCTAATCTTTCTGGAAACTCCACTTCTCATCATTTCAGCTCTTGTTTCCTCCAGGGCTCTGAGAACAGTGAGATCTAGAAAATCAAATTATCTCTGAGGTCAAAAAGTGCTCTGAATTGAAGCTGGAGGTATGTTCTGCATCCCAGGAGTCTTCACTTTTCTCCCTCTTTCAACTGGGGTTGTTGCAGCGTTAGGTTGGAATTTCGGACATTTCACCATGTCACTAATGGTGAACAGACCTTGCCTGCAGGCTCTGTGAAGTGAACCTGAATTCCAGTGGACATACATTTAATGTAAACTTCAGCAGAAGCAAAGGGGAAGGTGTAGATTTTTTTATGGCAAGTCAGTAAAAGAGGGGAAAAAAACCCAAACAAGAAACTCCGCAAAATCCATAAAATAAAAAAGTGGCACTTTCCCTTGTGAAATCTACAAGCAAATGCCCTATCTTTGAGTGAAGTAGAAAGAGCTTTAAAAAAAAAAAAATTTAGGCCAGCTATGCAGAAATATATGACAATTTGACCAAAGTTTCTTAATTTTTAATCTGAATAATGTGAAGTATGCCCTCTGATTTTTTTTTTTTTATTTTACATGCTTTTCAAAGCTCAGTAAAATGGAATATGTATGTCTAAGTATGCCATACACCAGATTGCCACAAAGTGCTTATAAATGACACATTTGCAGTTGACAGCTCTTGCAGGTAAAGTGGTTCATCCAGATACAGTGCCAAAGTGAGACATGAACAGCAATTGAATTTTCTGATTTCTGAAACATATGATTACTCTTGTATATAAAAGAAAGCTGTATGTATGCCAGTAATGCATTAAGAGATGAAATTAATTTACTGTCATAATTTCACAAGGAAGGTCTGCATTTTACAGATGGTATTAAATCCGTTCAGCATTTGTACTAGTATACCACATCATCTTTAAGATCTGGTATCACAGAAGCATGGTACCTGAAGCATACTGTTGGGGGAGATTATGGGTAGTGTTTTCAGCACTATTTTTTTAGCTGCCTTAACCATGAAGTCAAATGGATGTGAATTTCTAGAGACTTTAAGATCTGATTCTTAATTTTTCTGACAGAAGTAACAAACATGAGGCTTCAGAGACTTTAGGGTTCTTCTGGGCCACACTCACCACAAAGTAGGATCTGCTGTGCTTACTTCCGACTAGTTGAGGCAGACACAAAGAAAGGTGAAGGAGAGGAGGAGAACGAAATTTGGTATTGCTTCTTCTCGCTTCCTGCTTGACCACTGGCACCTCACAGCTTCTCAGCACTGTGGGATGCCTTCTCCTTCCAGCTTGTTAGTTGTGTGCTAAATGTAAGGAGCTAGAGGGATGCTATACTGTGCTACAGTCTTTCAGCGGTATATGCTATTTTGCTATTGAAATGGAATCATAGAATCATTATAAATTACATATCAACTTGCAGAATGGCATCACACTAGGACATACCTGTTGGTCTGTGATTGACTTTTGTGTTATTTTACTAGTGTATCTGTAATGAGTAATGGACTTAACAGTGTAAAATTTTCTTATAAGCTGCCTGACTATATCAGCAAAAGACATGGCAGAACTTAAATGAAATTTGAATAAAATTAATCTGAAGATAAAATTTATGCTTGTCTGAACTGAAACGTGAAAACTGTGTAAATTAGAATGGCAGTTTCGGATGCTTTCTTGTGAATGAGAAACCGTTCTGCGGTTACTCCTAAACATAGTTAAACTCACAGCAATTAATTCTGGCTGTTGGAATAATTTTTCTGGGTTGTTGTCTCTCTTTTGGTTACCATAATAAGACTGTCTTCCCTTCTTTTATAGTCTCTATGGGAAAATCTAAAATGATTGCTTGTTTAAAAAGTCTTTCCTGTAGTTGCAAATGGATATTTTCATTCCAAATGAAGTTGATACTTCAGATGGCTACCTTGAGCCAGAGGCCTGCCTCCCCTCCTGTATACTGAAGAAGTTGTTAAGACCTTGTTAATTTTGCTGCAGTACAGCCAACACCTTTATGGGAAAAATAAGGAGATACTTCAAGGACGGTTTTAAAATATTTTTGACAACTCAGATGTATTTATGCCACAGTTCCTATGCGATTGATAAGAAAAAGACTTACTTAAAGACTTAATTGTAGCATGTTAAAATCTGGGTTCTTGTAGATGCTATTAAATGTTTAGATTTAATGCTTTCTTCTAACAAATAATTCTGGATATGTTGGGGTTTTTTTCTTTTTAGTTTTTTTTTTTCAGAAATTGTGAGATACCTTCTTTACAGTGCAAATGGAGTTCTATCAGAGAGGTCTTAAGATTTAAGACACCAACAAGGCTGAGGAAGTTGGCTTGACAGAAACATAAGGGTTTAGTGGGAACAAATGTATCTTTAGTGCAACCAGGAGAAGTGATGGGGTTTGTTGCACCCTCGTGATCACTGCAGCACAGATAGCACTTCATCTATGGGGGCTTCCATTGCCAAAGACCCTGTTGTAATTGTTCATGTTCTACATTCTTAAAGTCCAACCACAGATAACTTGCATGTGTGGATTAAAGTGGTATTTATCGGTCTGTTTTTGTGAGGTATCCTTAAATAAAATATTGATAGATTAATTATTTCCCCCCTTTCTAGATGAGGTTTGTGCTTGATGGTTGACAGAATCAGTTTCAATTAATGCATAGGTGCTTGTTACCTAAAAATTATGCTCCTTTGATATCCTCAGAAAAAGCAGACATGAATTAAATGTCACAGAAAATACAGAAAATTAAGTCTTTTGAGTAGCTGAAGTATGAAAACATCTGAGTTTTCAATGCAAACTCACATTTAGCATTCTTTAATATTACACAAGTTTATCTAAACTGCTGAGGATTCAGGCTCTTTTCACTGAGGCCACCACATATGTGTAAATAATCCTTCCCCTTCTTCACGCACCACATGACATTTGTCTGTCAAAGGTTGGATTTCTTATTTCAGGTCATTCTTTAAAGCTGGCATTTTTCCGTATTTTCCCTATCCCTCTTTTTCGGGGGAGCGTGGCTGACAACAGCTGTTTCGGTTTAATCTGTTAAGAGAATCTCACATTTTGAACAAGTGTTGATGTGTGAGGTTTATTGTGCACTCGTAACTTCCAGTGGGTGAATTTTAAATAAGATCATTTTGATTCAGGAGTCATTTGGGAATCTATGCGTGCATTTAGATAGGAAAGGAGAGCAAAATTATGCAAACTGCCCATGGAAATAATAATGAGGATAGTGCCCAAAGAAGCAAAAACTGGAAGTCTTGGAATTCTTGCTGGTAGTTTGGAAGAGAAGATTCTACCTAGTAGTTTAATAGCAGAGAAAATTTATTCTCTAGAAGTCTTTTTTGACTCAACAGAGGTAGAAACTGCTCTTAGAGGCTTTAGTTCCAGAAAGGGCCATTTTCTGTGCAGGCTGTGTGTGTCTTCAAAATGCAGTGAAAATCTTTCCACTAATCATCTGGCTCCATGACTTCTGTTGCATGTCTTCCTGTCCTCTCTGCACTCCTGCCAGGGTTCCCAAAACTGCAAAGACACAAGCAGTCTTACTAAAAGCATGAGATGTGAAATTGGAAGTTAACATCAGCAAACTTTGCATTTGTCTGTGCTAAGAGGGTGTGTGTGCCACCACTGCTGCAATGATGTTAACTGTTACCACTGTTCTGAGGAGAGGAACTCAGGTATAGTTTGGTTGTTTACATCCGTGCTAAAATAGTGGTTTCAGGAAACTTCATGCCATTCTCAAATAAGGGTGAAAAACTGGCATAATACAATCGTGGTATACCAGTTTTAGAGTATAATTTTTGTGATTGTGGTCCTAAGGCACAGGTTTCAGTTCAGTTATAGGATACTCCACATGTGTAAGTGTGCTAGTGCTGTAAAAATGATACAGCGCTTAGCTGTCTGCTGTCTCTTGAAGCTGTGGTCACACTTAAGAGAGGAGAACTTTGTTTCGTGGCCAGCAAGTTGGGTGTAGATTCAGCAAGACTGAGTTCGATTACCAGACTTTCTGTTTGTTTTTTAGTAATGTAACCTAGTAAGCAACCTAAAAGCTAGGAATATAAAGATACTGAGGCTAAGATACTGTAGTGAATATGAGATGCTCTGTTACTTTCATCTGGAAAGCCATGTAAGTGTGTAGTAAAGTAAGAGTTTAAGCAGCCTATTTCACTTCACAGACCAGTGGTTTCAATCCAATGAGAATGAACAGGTGTAGGGATGTAAGCAGATAAAGAAAATGAATGAACAGGTAGAAGTGGAAAAGGGCAAAGAAAAAGTTTGTACGTAGAATGGTACTGCTTCTCATAGATGGAAGGTTATTTTTGATAGAGGATGTGGTGTGATGCTTGAGCAGTTTCTTTCAAGAAGTTTAGCCCTGGAACCCATTGTACAGTAAAGCACAGTCTGGGGTTTTTGTGTCTAAATGTCTCAAATGACAGATGTGATGGATGCTTGTTCTTTTCATAAGGTACAAATGCATAAAGGGTTCAGTGTTAATTTTTGAGTTGTGTTATTTGTGGTACTAATGGCTTTGCAGTTTTTTAAAGCAGCTTGTGTGTATCTTTGTAGTTCCCAGAATCTTATTGGCAATAAAATTTAACAGAGTATCTTTGATTGTTTTAGAGGTGTATTTGATGCTTCCCTCAAAATGGCTGGGTTCTATGGACTCTACACTTGGCTGACTCACACTATATTTGGGATTAACATAGTCTTCATACCATCTGGTAAGAATTTGAACAATTGTAATTATTTATAGATAATATTATGTAATTCTTTATTGTACAAGATCAGTAGGGTTAAATGTTGCTGATAAGATTGGTTCTTGAAGTTATTTTTAGAGAACACTAAATAAGAAGCTGGCAACTGTCAGAGTTGCATAGGCAACCTTAATATGGTTGATTTGTGCAAATGTCTTAAGACAGTTTCTAATTACAGGATTGACAACTTTCTTTTATCGTAACACGTGAGTCTATTGATAAACTCAGTATATGGTATGGACTTAATGAGTAGCTAGCTATTCAGAATTTTTTTCTTGATTTCCTGTTCAATATGTAACTTCATTTTGATTTCCTGTTTATTGTTCAAACCCGACTATGAAAATACTATGACAAGTTTCATACTTTTGTGATATGCATTGTGGTTCCAAAGAACCTCTTAACATGACTGATTCTTTCAAGTTAAATTTAGACTACTATAGATCTAATTATTCTGTGATGATTGTACAGCTTTTCATAGCTCTTACGTTCAAAATCTTTAGTTCCAGCTGTGAATGTGTGTAGCACTGCTGTAAACTTATTCCAGGAATGTTTCAGGATGGCCATGGGTAGGATGGAGAGAAGTCCCTGATCGCTGTCTTGCCTCTGAGCCTTGCCTTTTTCTGTTTTCACGACACATCTCCTGCCAGCTATTTTACTTCTCCTGTCTGTTTCTTTTGCTGGATGTAATTCTTTCTCCCTTCTGTTCATTCCAAGCCTTTCCAGGTTTTAACTTCATTCTGCCTGCCTTGGCTTTTTTTTCTTCCATAGTTGACAGGTGCCTACTTTTTGAGATCCCTAAATGCAGGAAGATGTGGTATCATAAAAACGCACTGTAGAGTCATCCTGCTTATTCTCAGACTGTGTTACCAGCCTCTGGTTTTCTGTTATCTCTGGTTTTTCTGTTGATCTTAGCTTTAGAAAAGGCTGAACAGTTTTCACTGAAAAATCTTCTCCTGTGTTCCTCTTTTGCCTCTCTTCCTCCTAAAAATAATAATAATAGTAATTAAAAAGAAGTTGTACCTTCACATGTGAGGGAACAAAAGGGGAAGCTATAAAGCAACAAAACCCAGTATAAGGGGAAATGACTATATTATAAAGTGCAGCTACCTTAGAGGCATTCGTTGTCATTAGACCTGCTCAGAAGATAATAATTCTTTTTCTTCCAGCTACCTGCAAAATCTTAGAAGTTTCTGCTTTGTTTAATGAGACTGAAAAAGAGAAAAAACCTTAATTATTTTTTGTATTATGTTCATTCCTGTTACATTAAATTAGAATGACAGCAGTACTGTATCACTTTAGATTACAGTGGATATTTGTATAATCAGAAGGATGTATGCCTGTGTGTACACGTGTGCATACAGAAATACGTCTGGTTTCTCACAGTACTACCCACTTTATTATGGTTGACTGCAGGAGATCCAGTAAGTTACAACGAGGCTTCTGCTTGTATGCTTTCTTGCAGACAGTTGCTGGTTTGTAGTTATGGAAAAGTTTGAAATGTGCGTGATTGGTATAACTTCAAATTTTTCTGAACTGGTGCCTCTTTTGGAAGTATCTCCTTATGACTGACAGTTGGTGAAGCTTTTTGGTATGGGGAATAGTGTAACTTTCTTTTTTTTCCTAAACAACAGCTACAAAACATGAGAGCCTTATGTGGCACTTCTTCAGTGTCTTATTTACAACAGCTGATAGAAGTGGGACTACTGGTGTGGCAAAAGTGCCAGAATTTAACTTCAAATAAATTTGTGAAATATGTTTCTCTGGTCTTTTTCCCACCTCTGCTTCTGTGTGTTCTAGCATTAGCAGCAATCCTTGGAGCAGTGCCGTTTCTGGGGACGTACTGGGCAGCCATCCCTGCAGTCCTAGATTTGTGGCTTGTGCAAGGACAGGGATGCAAAGCCATTTTGCTCCTGGTTTTTCACCTCTTGCCAACCTATTTTGTAGATACAGCCATTTATTCAGATATATCAGGGTAAGTACACTGCAGACTTTTTAAAGTTAGTATTGTAAAAATGCTTAATGATCATTGATGCCTTTAAACTTATATTTCTGAAGTGTGAAGAACAGTATTTTCAAGCACAGGAGCAGGTGTAGTGATACCACCTCACAATAAGAAGTCTTACTGGCCTAAGTGCCTTTACTTTCCCAGGCTTCTTTTCTGGGAACTTTGTCACTTCAGAGGGCTTGAACTCGTTCTCCAAGTCAGCAAAATAACTCTTTCGGTTGATAATGTAATTCTAAGAATACCTTTGCTATTTATCTGGTAATTGACTAAAGACGTGTAGCATTTTCATTTATGTCATCTAATGCCAGATGATACTGCAGAACAAACAAGAAATCTATGAGCCAGTTAGACACCTGTAAAAAATACTGTAATTTTTCAGAATGGATTGTGAGAATTCTGAGGATTTTTTTTAAGCCAGCCTTTGTGTTGTGTCACCATACCCCAGTGTGAAAATGTTTTGATTATGGATTGATCTTTAAATGCGTTAAGACAGATGAAATTGCAAAACTGGAGATAGGCTCCTACTGAGACAGTAGCCAGTGCTGTTTTCCTGTTGTGGGAGGTAGGCACAGATGTCTTGAAAAATCATGCTAAGTGTTTGGCTGCCTCTATTGACTTGAAGTATCTGCAGGTTTCAGTTCTGAGTGTGTACACAGGGAAACAAACTCCAAAGTATGGAGACAAAGTCAGCGTCTGCAGTTGTATCTGGAATGCAGCTGAAATGTCCACTGACATTTTCTGCTGCTGAAATATCTAGTGAATCCCTTTATGCAATTCAGATTAGAAGGTAAAGCAGCACTGTTTAACAGAGCTGGCAAAGATCTGAACTGCCAAGTTTTGGCTGCGCAAAACATGTTCACAACCACATACAAAATCGATAAAAAGCTGTACTCCTCTAGTCACTTCTTACATCTTGGTCATCATAAGCAATCCTAGTAAACTGTTTGAATTGATAACTTCATGGTCCAGACTTAGTTACATGCTGGTACTGTCCCTTATTTGTGCTGATTTTTATTAATGTAGAATAAGGACTTTAAGTGTTTCAGTTCTGTGTTAAGGTAGAAATTAATATTTTTGTTCACCAAATATAACTGCACTGAACAGAGAACTTAATGATAATATTCGCAATATTAAAAATAATTTTCATAGGCTCTGGCACTAGTTATTTTGTATGAATTAAAGCCAATATGTGAGGTATAATAAAATTACGATGTTTTTCCAGCAACAAATTGTGGATAAATTAAAGGCTAGTAGCTATTTAACCAGCCAATAATTCTTCTACTTATTAAAATACATTTTTTTGACTGTAGGGGATGCAGGCTCTGTTTACTCTCCAGAAAATATATGTGGCAGGAATAGGGTTTCTGATGGTGGAGCAAAATTGTATTCTTCCCATTAAATAGAACAGTAAGCATCATGCTGTCTTACAGATTAGATTAAATCTATTTGAAATAGCTATAATTAGGTTATGCAGGGTTTTCCAAATGCATTAAATTTATACTGTAGCCCTGTTTCTTCAGGTGATTTGTTGTTTAATTTAGCAAACTAGCCAGAAAAACATTTAAACTGATGCAAATGCTGGAAAAAAATTACTTGAAGTTTTTAAAGGTTTAGAAAGGAATCACATGTTTACTGATGGAGAAACATAAAACTTTAAGGTCGAGTCTGTCCCCTTAAAAAGCAGTGTGGCCCTACCAGTTGGATAAATTTTATCTAGGTAGGACATGATTGGGGAGTGTATGATGTAAGAGATCATGTTTCGTGGACTCATTCCGCACACAGTTGTGGTGAAGGCAAAGACTGCCAGTGTAGGACTTGGGTGGAAGTCAGGACCATGGTAGAAACCTGGCAGAAACTGTTGAAGCTCTAAACTGACTAGCTGGTATTTTCACTCCATTACACTCAGAATTTAGAAGAACTTCCTGAACATTGGGTACTAAGTTTCAACTGTAGCTTTTGTTATGTAATTCCATATTACCATCATTATTTTAGCTACAAAGATTCAGCATGATGAGCAGGTTTTGTGTAAATGCTGTTGATAGGATTCATGATGTACATCTGAACTGACACATGGAAAAGAAAGATGGAATGGCTTACCTGCTGCCATAATAGCTTTTATCAGAAGCTCCATTGGCCCCAACTTTTCAGTAATATTAAGATGTTCGTAAAAATCTGGTTTTGTTTTTAATCTGAAAACATTAAAAGCTGATGGTAACAAACGCTCAAGATGAGAGGTTGTTTTGTAACAAAAGGAGAAGACATGACTGTTAATTTAAAGAATATATGCTAACTATTCTTTAAAAGATGCAGTCCAAGTTGCTGTCATCATGTAAATTAATGTCTTTGCTCAGGGGCACTCATAGTACACGTTGCTACTTGTCTTAGTATTTAACAATTCTTGACCATAAAGTATGAGCATTCTTTATAATCAATCATCTTTCCATTTTCAAAATGGAAATGTTTTTGCCATTGACTCTTTCAGACATTCTTCAGCAGATGTCTCTAAAGTAGCTACTCCATTGTGGATATTACCAGCGTTACACGCTGTAAAACATTGTTTGATCTGTTGTGCAAATACAGCACAGGATCCAGCTTGGAATATTTGTGCAGTCATTCAAACAGGAGTTTATAGTTTAAATATGGGTGACTATAGCTAGCTATGTCTTTTTCTAAGCTTAATGAAACTTTGATTAATTCACATTCATGATTGATAATATTGTTGTTTGTTGTTCTTAATTTAATTTTGTTCTGCTTGTGCCATTATTCTAGAGGTGGTCATCCTTACCTGACAGGTCTTGCGGTAGCTGGTGGAGCATATTACCTGGGACTGGAAGGAGCCATCATAGGACCAATTCTACTTTGTATACTTGTGGTTGCTTCCAACATATATAGTGCCATGTTGGTGAGTCCAACAAATTCAGTGCCCACTCCATCACAAGCAGCATGGCCATTACAGATTTACCGGTGAGTTATAAATGTCTTACATGTGTGCATTATGTTTTTACATGATCAGTGTATGTGCGCATAGGTATAGAGAAGGTGCGCCTGTGTGTTACAGATGAGCGTGCATACACACCTATCTGCGTACTGAAGTATTTGGAGAGGATTCAGCTATCCTGTATTCTAGAAATAAAAATTATGGTAAAGTAAAATAATCACTGGAACATGTAAACTTGAAATGTTTGTTTAATGTCTCTTGGCTTCTTACAGAAGGCTCTTCTAGAAAATTCACTGATAATACCTTTGTATCCTATCATTTGTATGTTGCCGTTGTTCTGGGAGATGACTGAACATTCTTTTTTCTGTGTAAAACTATTATGCATGGATATATAATAGTCAGCGTTCGTTGGCCTTAAGATGCCTGCCTGCAAATACTGCATTTTTATGTATTGTACAATACTGCAAAATGTAAATAAACATACTTGCATTTTAAAAATGAGATAACATTATATGCCATTATTCCATTAAAAGTATGATCTTGATTAATCACTTTACTGAAGTTACCGAACATGGAGTATAGAAATATATTTTTAAACTGTACCATTAAGGAATGAAATGAATAAACTCCTAATTGAATACTTAATTAGATTTGGAAATCATATTGTGAAGTTATTAATGACAGTAGCCATTTTAATGTCTCTACTCTCTTGTTCAATTACATAGGTTAGCGCATTATACGTGTATCTTAAAGAGGATTCTGTGCTTGTCAGAAATAATCCTTTGGTTCACTCACATGAATGATGTTGTCATCTTTCATATGGCCACTTAGGAGAAAAAACACTAATTGGATCTGTCTGTAGTCTCTGACTTGCAGAGGTTATGTTCCAAGACTTCCTGTCTACACCATAGACAGGGCTTCCCACATTACACACAAAAATTTGCATATGTGTTTGTTGCCTGTTTCATTTGTAGGAAACCAGATATTTTTAATCAATCAACAGATTTGAGTCTTACTCTTTTTTTTTTTTCCCCACCCCCCAGGTCATCTAGAGAGAGTCCTGAGGAGATGAAAGCGGCCGCAGAGTGAAGAAGGTGCTGTGCTGCACCTATTCAACATGTGAGAATCGCTGTCTTCTGTCTTGAGTTCACAACAGCCATGGCCTTCTGTCCTTTTCCAGCTGTGCCTAGAGGCAGCTCACAGGGAAGCATAGCTTGGGTTTTCGGAGAAACCACTTCTCGAACATCTGCTGGCCTTACATTATTGTGCACTTTGCCTCTTCGAGAGAGAACATCTACTTCCCATGGCTTTGCATACTAACACACAGTTCAGCTGCCTTGTTGAAGGCCTTGAAGACCTTCTCTCTTCATAAAATGAATGGTTAAGAGGACAGGTATATCCACTGGAGCTGCCATCTGCTGAAATGACTAACTCGGCTTTTATTTATTGGGTTATTTGTGTTATTAAATTGTAGTACCTTTAAGGAAAGCTGATTCCAAAATATTTATTCTCAGTTAATCTGGTGGCAAAAAGGTGTAAACCACTCATTGTTAAATGAAGGTAGAATATAATTATTTGCTGCTCCTCAAAGTATTTCTTTAGAGGCTTTGACCATCATCTGTAACTTATATCGCCTAAATATTATCTTCTTATATGCACTGAAATTTAATCTTGTTGGAGACTGGTATTTCCAATATCTTCCTAACATTAGCAGACATGCAGATTGTTAAATGTGGATTTTCCTAATTTTGAAATAGAAGGACTAATTTAAATAGTTCAAATTTTGCCCTCATTTGTAGTGACATCTGATAGTATTTTGCTGTTTACCTACCATCCCAGTGGAGTCATCTTGTCAACTAAATTTAATCAAAGGCCTTAAGTGTCTTCAGGCAGAGGTAATGTGCGATTGTCACATCTGCTTCCAGTAATAGGAAGAATTTGAATGGGGGTTGTTTAATGTTGGTTTTAAAATGCGGTTGTGGAGTTCAGTTAATTTTTCAAACAACTTTAAGTTTATATCCAAAGACGAAGGGAGAAAGCATGAATTTTGTTTTAGTTTAGTTTGGATTTTTTCCTCTGTAAGCCTCTGGCCAAGTATCTTAATAAGATATGAGATATATGTTATATATTAAGATATATCATAATAAGAAACAGAGTTCTTAAATTCCTGAAATGGTGTGTTGCCTAGGTCACAGCATCAAACTACTGTAGTGCTTTTCTTCCATACATAATTTCATTTCAGTTGGAGTTTTGGTGGCAATTAAGGCCTTTTGTATTGATTGTTGAAATGTTTTGACACAATGGGTCTTTATAAATGGATCTTTTTTATAAATAGGACATGGGTTTTTTGGTAGAAATTTCATACTTGAACAGCTTTACCACAAATACAGTGAGGCCCTAGGTACAAAGTAGCACATGCATATGCTTAACCAAAGAACCACCTTTCAGTTTCTAGTAACTTCTCTTGAATTTATTTCAGAGTTTGACTGACAATGAGTTACACAAAATACAGGCATGCCTTGCAGTTATTGTTGACGGTAATGCAACTGTTGGAACAAAAATCTGTTCTTATCTAGGGAGAAGGATATCTAAGATTTGTGTACAGATGGCTCTCAGTAATTTAGATGTTTGTTTTACACGAGTTGCAGAAGTGCTGGTAGATTTGGAAGGCTCCTCTGCTCATGATATTGCATGTATTTTTACACTGTTTCTAAAACTACATTGCCGTAGAAGTGGTTTGAAAGTACTCTGATACTTGCTAAGCGAGAAGGTCTTCATATAGGTTTGCAGTAAACAGGCTGCCTATTAAGACACAAATAGGCTCAGATTCTCAGATCCTCAGATTCTTGAAATTAGCTGCTGCAATTTTACTGATGAAATTCATGGTTAAATGGAGGGTTTCAAGCATGCTGGTTTTGCACTTGCAAACTTGCAGGTATGTGTTTGGAGGACAGACTCAGGCTTAACTTAGTAGTTTGACTCAAGTTCATTGACATATGGAAACACCCCATTTAATATTTTAAATTCTGAAATACGTGCACATCAGTTCCAAGTAAGTGCATAGGAAGGACATGTTGCTTGATTGAAGTAACTGTCCTGTGTTTTAATTTCCTTGGTTTTGTGGATCACATAAAGTCTTTGATGAAACACGTTTTAATAACTGTTGCTGGCTAGGGTGGAGGATGACGAAGAACCTGAGGCTGTCCCTGAGTATCCCCCCAACATGCTAACCAGCTTGAATGAGACCACCGTGATACTTGAGAAACTTCTTTGTTATATTACTTTTTTAGTTCAGTATTTTGCACTGAAATGTTGTGTTCTCATACTAGCTTCTTGTAGACATCGTTTAAAGAAGATTACTAGCCAGAAATATGCATCTTTAATGTATTTCCAGGTTTCCATTGCTCCACTCACTGGTCAAGAAATTTCTATTGTCCACATATGCTATCCCAGTTTTTTCTGAGACAATCTTTCAGATTCCTGTGGTACTTAACATAGTAATTTTAAAGAATCATTATAAAGCATTCATATGTTTGTCTTTAAGTTTTCCTCTTCTCCCTCCGCCATCACCCGACCTGCTTAGATCAAAGAAGGGTCTCTGCTGTGAAGATTAAAATGGTATTTCAGACACAGTTATCTTCAATAATGGCAAAGCAGTAAAATCAGCTGAGAAGCTATGTTGTAATTTTGTAATATTTCTTTCCCAACGTGAATTCATTTTGTACAGAGAATTCATATCTGATGTAGTATTGTTAGTTTGCCCTGCTTCTAGATGAGGCTTCATATTGATGCTTACTGTTTCAAATTCAGCTAAGACTTGCCATGAAGAACCACCCGTAGTACAGTCTTTCTTCATAAATGCAGCTTAAGAGCTCATGCTATGTGCCATGCCTGATTGAGGAACGAATTGTATGGTTCAGTGGTGATACAGTAACAGTATACTGCCAAAAAGAAAAGAAAAAGAAGAAATAAAACCTCCAGTGATACCTTCTTAGAATATGAAATATTGACTGAATTTAAAAAAAAAAAAAAAGCGCCTTATGAAAAAGCGTACTTTGACTATTTAGGGTTTGTGTTTAGTGACTAATTATCAGTAGAAATAGAAAAACTTGTCCTTGCGTATTTAACAATCTGTGTTCTTCTCTAGCAAGACTCAGCCTCTTCAAGAACAGTTTAGTTTAGATCAGTCTCAGATTAATGTGAAAATAATCAGACTGGTCTTTTGGACTTTTCTGGTCATTGTAACGTACCAGTTCCTGGCTGTATCGCCTCATCTGCAAAAGCAAACAGCAGCTCCGTGGGATAAGCTTTTAGATGGCTTGTGAGGTTTAGGAAAAAGGGGATGGGGGGCAGAACTCCTCACACACCCTTTTCTGTAGTGGCGTTAAACTACTGTTTTCTTAGGAGAGACCATCTTTTTCCTAGTGACAAGACGCTGATGGTCTTTAGCTTTGCTGTAAACAGTCATTCCAGGAGCAGGTATTTACTTGTGTTTAGTACATTTAGTATTCAGTTTAAAAAAACAGTTTAGAATTCAGAAGGGAATGCTTGTAGTAAACCAAGACAATGTGGTCTCATGGTGTTGTAAAACAGAACTCTGCTGGTTTTTATCACTCTCTCCTAGCAAGTCAGGCTTGTTGCAAATAGCGTAGTGCCAAAGGGCTAGTGGTAACTGGTTTTTACACCGTTAGCCCTTCCTCCCCTTCCTGTAGCTGAGCTGAACGTTACTGTCCTGTAGCAGAGCTTACAGAAGTGAGTGTGTGCCAGTTTCCAGCCCAGCACGTTAACTTCAGGTCAGCGTAAATACTGGCTTAACTGAATACATGAAGCAACAAACTGCAGTGGGCGAGCGTCTGGCACACATTCGTGTTGCCAGCCTGACTTCAGCATGGTGACTTCCAGCACAGAGGCACCGTGACCAGCTGGGAGTGGTAATGACTCACTTTGAAAGACTGTGCTTTTTTTAAAAAAATAAAAAAGTTTAACATAGTTATACATACGATATACATTTTTCAGAAATGAAGTTGATACACACGTATCTAATAATGGAGACAGCAGTCAGATATTTCCATGCACAATGGTGTGTATTTGCAGCTCATGTAGGGTACATTTAGGCTTGTGTGATTTCAAGGAATACGTGGCTTCTCTTGAAGACTTTGCGGAGGATGATACATGTATTTTGTCAGTGATTATTGGATTAGGAAATCCATGGTCCGTTTAATTAAATAAAAGAGGAAGAAAGCATTGTGCAGGGATAATTGGATGCTGTCTCCAGTATTATATATTGTGGGTATCAGTGTAACTTCTGAAATAGGTGTATGGCTGCAATGTTAAACAGTGTTTTTCAGAAAGCCTGAAAATACTAAACTGGATAAAATAGTTCCCCAGTAAAAGCAGCAGCAGAATTGCTGTGCTGCTAGTCCCTAGTACTGGAGTGCTGCCTTTCCTATGGACCTGATATACTAAGGATGGGAAAATACCAGTATTCTAGTGAGACCCTATAGCTTTGCGTCAGTGGTAGAAAACCCTCCCACAATGGCCTTTATTCAAACATTGTGTTTATATTGTATCAGCTTAAGTCACTGCATATAGTGCCACCATGATGGATACTAGCCCTGAAAACAGCTACAGCTTTCTTCAGGTGGTGCTGAAAGCTGTTGGGATTGGAGTTAGTGTTCATTATGTTCAATAATAGAGGTAGCATTCTTCTAAAGATGCAGTTGTTTGCCTTGAAGCTTGCAATTTTACAAGAGAAAATTGATTTCCCAATTAAATAATCTTTATTGAGTGACAGTTGGTATCTCTTAAATCCGTGGATGCATCAACTTTATAAACTCTATCAGGGCTTGTATTTCAAAGGGTTTCTTCTTATTATTCTTCCTTACACTTTTTGGTGAAGCATACTTTGGCCATTCCCTTCTTCCTTCTATTTCTGTAAAACTAGAATTGCCTAAAACTCTTAACAGACATTCAGGAGGCTTGATCTTTAACCTGATACTGTTCATCTGTCACTTTTAGTAAAAGACCTGAATGCTTAATGGTATAATTCTCCAAAATCGCTTTTAAGTGATAAAATTGGAAATTAAAAAAAAAAAAATTGCCATGTAGAAAATGAAAGTGGTATTTTGAAACCAGAAACAATGCCAGCAGTGATGAACATATTCAGGGATTCTGCGTTGGGTTTGTAAATGTATACATTGATATGCAGCATTATATAAATATGAGCAGTGTCTGTCCTGTTCAGACTTCAACTGATATTTTGTCCTATCTTTTTTTTAAAGATATCTGAGAACAAAATAGTGCCTGTATATAGTGAAAACAAGCAACATTTTCTAGAATTAGTGTTTACTTTATAAACATCAGGGAAGAGCCAAGCAAGTACTGGCAGGGTGACTAGAAGTGTTTTGTTGTAGTTAATACAAAGTTGGGAAAAGCTGTTCTTCCATCCAGTAATGCATTGCTAAGAGATTACTGTTCCTGGAAGTATTTGCAGACATCCACTAAA